ATAAAGTTTACGTTACATTTACGTCATTTTCTGACGTAAAAGTAACCATAACCATTATGACGTAAAAGTAACGTAAATTTAACCAAAGAATTTTACCATTATTGGACGCTAACCAAAATCTAACCATAATGACGTAAACTTTACGTAAATCTAACCATGAATGTTAACTGGGGGGGGGGGGGGCAAAAAACAGAATTGGCAGGTTATTGTTGTGTATTCTATAATAATATAATAATATTGATGAGGGAACATATTTAGTACAGAATTAGCAGGTTCATGATGTTTCAAGATGCCCCTCCTATTCCATAAAACTAACAACTACACAGTACCAATATTTACACATATTTACAAACTGCATATATATCATATAATATAAGCTTAGCAAGGAGGAAAATCAAACAAACAAGAAAGAAAAAAATGGCAAATAAATAAACATACATGCTGAGAACAGTAGTAATTGCATGTTGCATGTTTCACAGTTTGGTGTTAGGAATTCCAGGATAAAGAAGTGGCATATTAAAATGTTCTCGTCGTTGCCTTTTTTTACTTGTTAGAATTGCTAATTTAAGTTACAAACATTATCGAATAAGCGCTTTTCGATAACCCCTATAAGCTTGTTATCGTATCCCATATTTATTATATGAATTTTGTAAATTTAAATGAATAAAATATTGTTTAAATAGAAATAAACTGTTTTGATATCATTTCAATACGACTCAATAACGAAATATATACGCCAATGGGAACCAAGTCGTCATGGTAGATTGGACGATAACTTTAATCGCCAGAAAGTTCACAAAATTCTAGTTATTGACGTTAAAGATTTCCTGACCGGTGGAATTAGAACTAAAAAAGACACTGTCCGGGAAAATATTCCCTCACTGCAGCGAATAAGAATAAAGTATAAGACGTTAAACCCTATTTCAGAAGTGAATTAATGTATAAATATAAGATGTTAAACACTATTTTACAGTAGAGTATAAATATAAGACCCTATTTTAGAAGTGAATTAGAGTATAAATATAAGAAGTTAAACATTATTTCACATGTGAATTACAGTAGAGTATAAATATAAGACGTTAAACACTATTTTAGAAGTGAATTAGAATAGAGTACAAATGTATAAATCCGTAATGCCTTGTTTTCAGTTCATGTATAAAATGAAACATTATATAATATAATGATACATTACCAAATGATGTCACAAAAAAGACAATCCAGATCCCTTCCATAGCTAGTTACAACACATTAAGGTTGTTGATTTGTTCAAGCTGAAGTAAACTGTCAGTTATAAACGGCGTGAAGTCGTGGTGTCGTCATGCTTTAATACACTGTCGGTCTTGTTGAAGCTTTGTCGTTAACACGTTATAGCGGTTTTACATCATTATATGAGGATAGTGTTAGGAAAAGGCAAGTTGTTGTAAATTGTGGAATATCATGTCTGGGATTTTACGACGCTTAGCATGGGTGTTTCTAATTATCAAGTTTATTTGTAAGTACATACTTGTATTCATTCATCAATGTCTGATTTATAATGTGTATATCCTTTAATCGATGATTAAGACAGGGTATTATTTTTTGATACACCGGATTCCACTAATAACACTTGGCTATACTGATTTATAATAACAAATAACTATATAGGAAAAGAATTAAAAAAAGGGTAATACATGTATATGAATGTTATGGATTAGTACCCCCCACCACCCACCCCCTTTTTAAAGGGCATTACGGGAGATTATATATGTTATAATCCTAGCAATAGCGCCATACACGTGGGAGGGGTTCATTGTCAGACTTATCAGCAGACCGTGGAACCGGTGCCAAAAACACACAATGTTGATGATAGACTTCCTTCAGGTCAAAAACACACAATGTTGATGATAGACTTCCTTCAGGTCGCCCTAGAGCCACTACACAAGCCCAGGATCGATACATTCGTACACAGGTCCTGCGAAATCGAGGACAAACGTCCAATCAGCTTTCTGTAAACTTGTACCAATTGTTACAGGAATTCGAGTTACACCCCATGCGTGTTGTACCGCGTGTTGTGCCTTCAGGCGTCAATGGTGTAGGCAGCGTAGAAATTGGGGTAATCGTCGATGGGCGCGTGTAATGTTCTCAGATGAGTCCAGATTTACTTTGGATTTCACCGATAGGCGTGCTTGCGTTTGGAGGCGTGCAAATGAGAGTCATGCTAACGTTAACGTCAGACAGCATGACAGATTTTGGCGTGGGTCTGTTATGGTGTGGGGAGGAATCACCATGACTGGCAGAATGGACTTGAATGTTAAATGTTAAGAAACTTTCAAAACAGGATTTGTTTGTATACTTTGTTGTGCGTTTAAACGAATACGAGACTAAAATAACAGTAAACACGTGTATACTAAACACGAATGCGACCATGCTGACCACTTCGAATTTACGCGCGATAAGCGATACGCGCAGAAATTGGCAGATGAAAATGGCGATTTGACAGTTTGATCATGCATGCCTTTTGATCTCGCACTCTGATTGCATAATCAAAATCTTCCAGGCGAACTGTTGTCAAAACTTCGGCCGTGTACACGATTGGCGATATCTCGGTGGAAGCGAACGTTAAATAAAGCTATTTCACAAACGCGTTAGCTGTCGGTATAAACGACTTCAGTCAAATAGTAGATAATCAATCAAATGCCGCGATTCGGGTCGGGACCGCGCTCAGTATACATGGCCCTTTAGAGAGTCCGAAATCATGAAGCGCTATATGTCGCGGGGTATGGTCGGCCTCCCGGAGAACATTTTGACAATTCGAGGTATAGGCTGCCACGTTCCATTATACCACGTTGGGTCGTTTTTAAATGGGCTTAGTAAGCTTTACACCGTATATAAATACATGTATCTAGGGTGACCCACCATAAATAAATATCTCGACAATTACGTGCCCTTGTTTTGAAATTAGTCTCGCTTAACCAGTCTATCGACCATTCTACGTCTGATTGACAGGTCGGGATAATCAAGACTACTTTTTTACGAAACATAACAGAAAGCTAGAACAAGAAAATGAATTTAGAAATAAGCACGTTAGGTAGCTCAACAATTGTTTTAAGAAGCTTGTAAAAGTAAAATGAAACTACTGCTAGTATCATGTTCCTGTCTAACCCGAGTGTTACAGAGATATTATTTGTACTAAACCAAAAGATGCCGCTCTTAACGGTACAGTTAATGATAAAGCGATTTAAAAAATGAAACGAACGTAATTTCTAAATCTGCTGTAATAACCAAGAAGCTTAATTTTACTGCTATTCGAAATTGTCAACAATAATTTTTTTACGGCAGTAATAGTTGATAGATTTGTAGAGAATTGCACGTGCCATTGCTATTTATAGTATCATACTGTCAGAAAGTTTGTCTCGACACGGCGAATGTGCACGCTTCAGTGGTAGTCTCGAACTATCAGCGGTGGACTGTATTTCTGTAGAGTGCATGGGTCACCCTAGTATTGCTATTTATTTTAACAGAAAGTGTAAATATGGCCTATAAACACAAGTCGAACACATAATTAACATCGTTCGCAAAATTAACTTTCTATAAGGTAAAAAGTACGTGGTAACAAACTCGCTGTCGTAAATATATTTAAGGCTAGGTGGTTAGCGTAGATTTAGTAAATTATTAACAAACTTTCTAAACATTATTTTTCAGCTAACTGCTTACCTTGGCAAATAGCTTCTGGTCTTCTAACTGTAACCATTTCATGAAATACTGATCCTAGTAATCAGAATTTATTTTTGTATCTTTTCTGTTAGCAAATTGGGTGAAAACACTTTATCCCTGATATTATTTTCAAATTCGTCGTAGCGTTACATGAAAATGATTAATATGGTCTGAGATTCGCCATCATCTGGAACCATAGACATAACCTTTTCATTTCCGTCTTTTTCAGCCACTCTCTGCAGCAATGATCCTAAATTTGTCCTATCTGAATGTATTCAAGACTTGTGGACCTTCATCCTCATTGATTCAATGTGAATAATACATTTCTTCGTTACTTTTGTTATTGTACTCATGAGGGCCTACGGGTTGGTATCCAGAAGCACCTCATTGGTCGAATCACGTCACATGACTATTTTAACCAACAAGGAACCTCTCAAAACACTCCATTGTGTCTGATTGGGCGGAGATATGCAGCGCGAAATTGAAAAGCGGCTTTTATCAAAACTGCAGGGTATTTTTCAAAGGACTTTGATTTTTGAAATGAGAATGATATATTTAAAACATTTTTTAACTAAAATTTTAAATTGCTTTTTGCTTGAGCAAAGGTGGCAAGATATTCGATGCCAGCTGGGAGCCACGGTGGCTAGGTGGTTAAGACGTTGGCTCGTTAGCCTGGAGGTCGGGTGTTCGATCCCTGCATTGGCCGAGAAATTTCACCGGGATTTACCGACGTGGTTTCCCCTTGTCAGTAGTGCAGAACCGAGGGCCTGACAAGGACAGCTGCCTAGTCCTTTGGGTGAGACGAAAAACCGAGGTCCCGTGTATACATTGGAATGCACGTAAAATATCCCTTGGCAGTTGGAATTCGATATAAGTGACCAATCATGCAAGAACCCTGCCCCAGGTTTTCGGCATCCGTAGACATACATCACAAGGGATTCCTTCAGACTTCTATGTAAATCTCAGTTCTGGGTTTTCTTTCTCTCTCTCTCTCTCTCCCTCCCCCCCCCCCCGAAACCTTTCTAAGCGCTACGGTTCATAGTTTCCCTTATTTTAGCTAAACATGGTAAAGAGTTTTTTTATTGTTTTTTTTTTGGGGGGGGGGGGGGCGCAATGACGTGTACGATATCATGGGAAGTACGATCCATAACAATTGTTGGTGATAACTATTATTGTTTGGGTCGGCAATTATTTCTTTAGCAGCACATATACGTCGATATTTGAATCATTCAGTTAGGAAGCTAATTTATAATTTCAATCTCGGTATTTACGTTGGACGTTGGATGGATATTATTACAACTTAGGAATACAAAACGTTATAATTTATTTCAAACAAACATGTATTATTTTTATATCATACTCTAATTATATGTTTCAAATCGTACATTATCTAAACAAATAATCTATATACATTTCAACAGTAAAAAATAAACATACCTACGAAACCCCATTGGGGTCAATCAAATGAAAAAATCTAATTATCTTGTAAATACAAGATTGAAGCCCATGAGTAATTTATTTCAAGGTCGCCATAAACTGATTTATCGAATAACTAGGTCAACGCCGTACTTTATTTTATGTTACAAAATTGGCACATTCATGCCATGCTCCCATTAATATCATTCTTTATTTTCATGCTCCAAATGAAATGGGGTTTAACGTCCTACTGTTCTGCTCCGATTGGGCTAATGAAGACGGACAGTGTGCTATGAGGAAAATTTTGCCCGGACAGGGGCACTACGGCCTACTTTTTCTTTTGATTGACCCTAATGGTCTTCCGTACATATCAGTGATAACAAACATAAACATATACATGTGATGAGAATGTTACTGCTCTATACAAGTTATATTAATAACTGTAATCTAGTTGAATATCCAATATATGTTGTGTCGACAAATTTTAGAACTGGAGTCACATGATACAAATGCAACAAGCTATTTTTTTATTTCTTTTTTTTGTTTTTTTTGTTTGTTGTTTGGCAGAAAAATGAAAGGTTATAATAACACATATTTTTCTCCTCGTTGCGTTTATAAACAAATGATATTACAGGAAGATGCAACTTAATAATCATTAATATGATTTGTGATATCCGAATTCTTTACCATCTACTCATAGGGATAGGACGTAACTTGTATTTTAAAGCAATACTTAACCTACAACTAGTGAATCAATCGATGTGACAGAGAATGAAGACCAATTGGATAAACTGTCGTCAATTTGGGCTAGTTGTCCTATTTTAAAGGGTTAAAATGTATTTCCTTAAAATTAGATTAGAACTGTTCGGCGATTTAATGAAATAATTTAAAAATGGAGAAGCGAGGTTAGGCCTCGAATATACCAGTACCGTGGTTACGACAATAAACAATCAACAATAAACTACTCCGAATAAAGTAATTTGAATGAGATTTTCAATATATTCATTTTCCATTATATATTTTTGAACTATTATAACGAGAACGGTCAACTCTTTACCTAAATCTTAAATAATACCTCTTTAATGTAGCAATATTGCCGTTTTTCAAATGTTCAATGTTGTAATATTACTTGCTTAACAACTTAGAATATAAAACACTGTTTGCACTTTACATTTATATTTATATTACATTTCATAACAAAATAAACTACAATATCTACTTATCGATATTATGTTAAATAATTAACTATATATACTCATATAATCAAGCGAAATGTTTAATGCAAACTTATTTCAACATCGGTTGTCACAGAAACTAGATCAAAAAGAGAATTATTATTCAAAATATTGTATTATTCCTATTACTATTGGAGTGGTGTGCTAACAATGTTGCTTACTCTCGATTGTCTGATTCCTCATCACTACTATTTGGTGGTGTTTGTTGAGGTGGTCCACGTTTAGTATAATCAATACCACTGTATTCTACAACATCGTCCTGACCTCGTATGGTTGTAGTTGGTTGGTGGCCATCAAAATCTAGATCGGCATAAACCGTTTCGGTAGGACCAGGCTTTAATGAGAAGAATCCAAATACAAACCATATAATCAAAATACACAAAAACATGAACTAACTGTTCTTACGTCATATTTGTTGATACGAATAACAGGATGAACACTCATCTTGAGGTGTCCAGTTTATCCAAGTTGTTAGGTCTAAAGTGTTTTGGGGGCACACCTTAGTACATGTTTAATTTACTAGTAACTCCATGTTCCAAGTTTCGTTACACTTAATCTACAATCGGTAGCAGTATCCGAATTTAGCAACAGTTAGTTAATTGCCACTTGGTCAGTAAGCCTAACACATGGGGCTAATACCAAGATGAAAATTGTCAACACCCCGCCCTCTTCCTGATCTGAACATGGTTAGTTGGACTGGTGAAATTTTGGTAGTTGAAAAACATTAGAGACACAAAGTTTAAACGATTACAGTGAATTGGCACAGACGAAAACTGGAGAGTGAGAAAATATACCTGACATTTACATTCGCAACTTTTGGCAGGAAGTTTTTTTTTATACGATTGTGATTTCCCCGGTGTTAATAGACATGGGCAGTTGTACTATGTTAAGCTTGCAATTTTGCAAATTATATTATTTTCCAAAATTACTGTCATTATCATTATGTTAATAACAGATCCGATGGTTCTTTCCTATCGATAGTCGGTGTGCTTTATAATTAAGAGTTAACTTAATGTAACATTAACGATCATACTACGACGTTCCCAGATTTTATTTTTGTAATAGAATATGCTAAAGCTCTCATTCATTAATATAAAATTTGGAATCTATGTGCTAATGAAGACGGACATGCGCCATGCAGTGTGCAGTGTGGGAAATATAATTATTATTCTAGAAACTGTTCAAGATACATTTATAACACTTCTATATTATTATACTAGTCCGATTGGGTTTGTTACATAATTCTCATCCGTCGGCTTTTCGGGTAGAAATCGTGGAGTAAGCTTTATTTTGAAGGTTTTGATGTTTAATGACATTTTTTCTTAGTAGGTCTTCATAGTATGGGAGGCCATTATTTGAGGGTAGCCATGTTGCGATAATATTCCAACTTATTTTTTTTCTATTTATCAACTGTGATTTGGCAATGTATTAGTATTGGCAGGGGTCGTGACAATATTTCAGATTCCATTTCTCCCAGGTACAAATGTGTAAAATGATCGCATGTTCATCTATTTTGCATATTTTCAAGATGGTGACCATGTTTGGCATGGAAATGGGACGGTGTTCTGATATTGATTAAGCTGCAGATGATGTAGCAGCGAGAGGGACGTCATCAGTTCCAGCAGTAACCTGAAACAACCAAACCACATAAAATAATTTACTAAAATTATTTTCTAAGTATTTGCAGGGGTCCCTGATACCAACCAGTCCATCGTGAGAGGTGGCCCCTGATAGAAATGGCCTTCATATACAAATTAAGTTTTACAGGGCCTGGCAAGATCCATTTTAGGCTCTGAAAATGATACTATGATGAAGTTGAATTTTTTACCCTATGTCATATCATGTATTTGAAGAACTAACCTGAGGCGGTGTAGGAACTTGGCTCTTTTGACAGTCCATTTCCTCATTATTGACAGCATATTGTTAAATTCCTTTTGGAATATTCCATTTGAGACCCAGGCGGTAGCGATGGGCAGCACATATCACCTTTCCATCTAGAATCGACGAATTAAGATCAAAAATCCCACTTCGTCTAGAAATCTGTATAGAGCGCCCTAAGGGCAGCACATGTTTTATGTTGCTCTGTGTTTTTGCTAATTATTGTTGTGAACAAGGATTTGGATTTATGTGATTTTTGGACTGGTGCTGTATCACGGTACAAGAAACAACTTTCGCGAAACAAATTCAGAAAAAGATTAATTCATACGGTAGTTTTGTTAACTTTTATTATTCATATTCACTTTATTGTAGATTTGCTACAGTGACATGATATACTCGTCAACACAACCATTGTTTTTGTCCAGTCAATTAAGACCGAGGGGATGTAGAGCTGGCAAGAATAAACAAAGATCAATTAAGACAGTCATTAGTGAAAGAGTTCCTATTGTGAAGACCAACCAAAGTGTTAATTTTAATAACTTAATTGATCTGACCCTAAGTGCTCCAACAAAGAAAGTGAAAAATGAGAAAAATTCTGAAAAGTTTAGTTTATGTATATTGAATACCAGGTCTGTCCGAAATAAAACTGATGAACTGAATGAATATGTTGTTGATAATGATGTGGATTTATTTATTGCAACTGAGTCGTGGATTCGCAATGAAGACACAAATTAGTTCCTACCAACTTTGACTCAATATTTGAAAATAGAAAACATTCTAAAGGAGGTGGAATTGCTTGTTTCTTCAAAAAGTCTGTAAAAGTTTCCCGAGTAAGTACAAAAAACATATTTTCAACTTTTGAAATACTACAATTAAACGTACTCCTTGGCAAGAATCATGTAAGAATAGTGTCAGTATATCGCCCTCCTTCAACACGTGTTGTGGATTTCCTGACAGAATTTACTGATCATGAACTAGTCAATAATCTGAATACTGGACCTGAACATTTACTAATTCTTGGAGATTTCAATCTCCATGTTGATAAAGCCAATGATTCGAACATTAAGAAATTTTTACTATTGTTAGACGCATTTAGTTTAAAACAGCATGTGGATGTGCCAACCCATAGACATAATCATATTCTTGATCTCGTGATAACGAGAGAACATGATTCCATTATTCAAGCATGTGATGTTGTTGATCATCAGATATATGATCACTACAGTTTATTCTGCCATCTTTCATTTCCTAAACCTGAACCAATAAAGAGGACAATAAGTTTCAGAAAAACAAAAAACATTTCTATCGATAAATTTAGAAGTGATATTAATAATTCATTACTTCTGAGTACCATTGCCACCATGCCGGATACCCACCAACAAGTGGATGTTTATAATGACGTTCTTTCCAAAATACTGGAAAAACATGCCCCACTGAAAACAAAAGAAATCATTATTCGGCCTAATAAACAATGGTTCACTGACGAAATACGTGATCATAAGGTTAAACGCAGGAAGGCCGAGAAAACATGGAGAAAAACCAATCTGGAAATTCACAGACAAATTTACAATAAGGCTCGAACTACCACTAATAATTTAATTGAATTGGCTAAACGATCCTTCACTAAGGACTGCCTGTTATCAAACAAGCATAATCCACGTGAAGTCTACAAAATTACAAACAGTCTGCTAAAACCAAGAGAAGTAAAGGTTCTGCCATCGGTTCAAAATGATGCTAGCCTATCAGATCAATTTTCTGAATTTTTCCACGACAAAGTCTCTACCATTCGACAAGGACTCAGTGTAAATAAACCAACAAACATATTCAATGAGAAAAAGTTTGAAGGTTGAACGCTTGAGAGCTTTTGTCTAGCAACAGAAGATGAGATAAGAGAAACAATTCAGAGATCAGCCTCAAAATCATGTTCCCTCGATCCTCTGCCAACATGGATACTAAAGAAGTCTGAAGTGGAGGTAATTCCAGTGATCACCCAAATCGTGAACACGTCTTTAGTAGGCGCAGAAGTTTGTGAAACGCTTAAAACAGCCCATGTGACACCCCTCATTACAAAATCAACCCTTGATCCTAATGTGCTAAAAAATTATTGACCTGTGTCGAATTTATCTTTCATTTCGAAAACTATAGAAAAAATTGTCCTTAATCGTTTTAAATATCATTTGTGTGAAAACAATCTCCAAGAAAAATTTCAATCAGCATACAAAAAACGGCACAGTACGGAATCCGCCTTACTTCGTGTTCACAATGATATCGTATGTAGCTTGGATCAGAAGAAACCAGTGTCGCTAGTTTTATTCGTGTTCACAATGATATCGTATGTAGCTTGGATCAGATGAAACCAGTGTCGCTAGTTTTATTGGACTTGAGTGCGGCATTTGATACGATAGATCAATCAATCTTACTCGGGAGACTTGAAACTCGATATGGTATATCCGGAGATGCACTGAAGTGGTTTGAGTCTTATCTGAGTGGAAGACAGCAGAGTATTGTTATTGACGCATGTCAATCAATGCCTGAAGTTCTTGACTTTGGTGTTCCCCAGGGATCCGTATTGGGACCGATTTTGTTCACAGCATACACTGCACCCATTGGCGATATCATCCATGAGATGGGTCTTAATTACCACCTCTATGCGGATGATACCCAGTTATATGTTGAACTTGATCCTTCACCAGATACCACTACATCAGAACTGGAAGCATGCATTGAACGAATTAGAATGTGGATGCACTGCAATTTTTTGAAATTGAACGATGACAAGACAGAAAATATAATAATCGGGAATAACAAGAACATTGACATCAACCATGTGACTATTGGAAGCACAGCAATAACCCCATCCAACTGTGTCAGAAATCTTGGTGTGTTCTTTGACTCGTCCTTAGATATGAAAACCCATGTATCAAGACTGTGCAAAAAGGCGAACTTTCACCTGTATAACATTGGCAAAATTCGATCCTATACTGACCTTGATGCCACTAAAATGTTAATAAACGCTTTTGTTATGTCATCTTTAGATTATTGTTATTCAGTATTGTATTCTCTTCCTAAAACTCTTGTAAGTCAGCTACAAAAAATCAAGAATAAAGCAGCTCGAATTTTATCTCTCACCAAACCATCTGATCATATTACACCTGTTCTTTGACTCGTCCTTAGATATGAAAACCCATGTATCAAGACTGTGCAAAAAGGCGAACTTTCACCTGTATAACATTGGCAAAATTCGATCCTATATTGACCTTGATGCCACTAAAATGTTAATAAACGCTTTTGTTATGTCATCTTTAGATTATTGTAATTCATTATTGTATTCTCTTCCTAAAACTCTTGTAAGTCAGCTACAAAAAATCAAGAATAAAGCAGCTCGAATTGTATCTCTCACCAAACCATCTGATCATATTACACCTGTTCTAAAACAGTTACATTGGCTACCGGTTAATCAACGCATCATTTTCAAAATTAACACAATCACTTTCAACTGTTTAAACGATCCTTTTGCACCATCCTATTTATCCGATTTGATTAAACAATATGCACCTTCTCGTTCCTTACGTCCATCTCATAAAAAACAACTTGTATGCCCAGTACAGAAGTCAAAATTTGGTGAGAGAGCTTTTGCGTACGCAGCACCAAAAGAGTGGAACAAATTGCCTCTGGAAGTCCAAAATAGTCCAAACTTAGCTATATTTAAACGACGTTTAAAAACCCTGTTTGTTACCCAAACTTTTAAACAATAATTTAAATGCTTCACTTTCCATTTGTATATTGTAACTATTCCTTTGTATTCTTTTGTTTATTTGTATATACATGTATGCTTGTTTTGTTTTTTATAATCATATCTACATTGTAAAGGGCCACAGACGATGTACAGTTGGGTGTCATCAGCATAAATTACAATGATTGAAGAGAGGTGACAGACATTTTATTTTTTATATCGATAGCGGGTGTCGATCTGTGCATAAAACCATTTCGATATTTTGACCTACCCCCGCATCATAGAAAATAGAGCTAATTTTCGCAGGTGTATATTTTCTGTTTTAGTCGCCATATGTTAAAATTTTGCTGGTCATTACTCCCAGAGAATAAATGCGACTTTATGGTCTTCACACTAACCCCCCACTAACATCACCAACCACCAACATTTCCATCCAAACCCTAGACTCGCTACAAAAGGTGTCTGAAAATTGACCAAAAATGACCTGAGATCGGCCCTCCTGGCTGTGAAGTAGTCTTGAGGAGTCCATAAAATCCCCGCGAGATATTTTGGTACTGAGCCTCGTCCATCAGAGAAAACATCAAGAAACTAAAAAATGTTCTTGATTGCTTGACGTTTGTTTGTTCTCTGCTTTGAAAGTGAATGGGGACGAAGTGAGCACGGCGAAGTCACAATAGGCGCTGCGAAAAGGCAGCTTTCGCCTGGTACGCGGGAGTGTGGTGAGAACGTACCCCATTCTGACTGCTAACCGCGAGAGCATGATGGGAACACGGTGCACGTAGCCAGGGCTTGTATAAGATCTTGAGCGTATAAGATCTTGAGCGCGCTGGGCGTAGAAAGCGCTTGGTGTGGTAATGGTAGGAGCATGGTGGGTGCGTAACAATGTGGTGCATGCTCCACGCTGCCGATACGCTCTCTTCATGGCAGGAGACCAAGTGAATAGCCTTGTCTTTCCCAGGAAAATCGATATCAGATCAGTGGTCATCTCGGATCAGTAATTTTCATCGTTGGATAATATACCAAATGGGTACGAAACGGTACCGACTTTCAGGAATATGCTACAAGCTAATAGCCTACGTAGCAGAATTGGACGCAGAAACGTGTAAATAACAACGACCAGTAAATATATGATAATAATGCGTTTTAAAAAACTTTCCCCCGTCTTGAAAATATGCTAAATTGGTGAACATATAATCATTTTACGCAGTTGTATATGGCAGAAATGAAATTTACGCCACCGGAAACATATATATTGACACCAAAGACAACTACTTAAAGAAAATCAGCAAATCTTCCGATGTTTCCGCCACAAGTGGCAGCAATATTGACAATATGCTAAATATGTGAACATGTGATCATTTTACATAGTTGTAAATTTCAGAAATGAAATCAGCGCCCCTGTAAACAGATATATTATATTGACACCAAACACTACTACTTAATCAAAATCTGGGCATGTCCAAATTCCCGCCAAAAATGGCTGCCATCTTGGAAATATGCTAAGTATGTGACCATGTGATCAATTTACAAGGTTGTAAATGTCCGAAATTGAATCTACGACCCCGAAAACGTATATACTGATACCAAACACTACTACTAATACCCCCGACAGACTGGGGTGGCGTCCTTACTGCGACGCTACGGCGACGGAAAATGGTCGCAGAGCGCGTCAAGATCGCTATAAGCGCAGTAAAAGCGTGGTGGAAACGCCAGATATTGCGCTGTGGTCTCCATGGTCGTAAATGATCGCCTAGTTACCGCGTTTGTTTTAAGCATGTCCAAAACAAACGCCAAGTCTCTGCGATCTAACCTGGAAAGTTGTAATGCCCCCGTCAGACCGGGGTGGCGTCCTTAACGCGCTGCAGCCACCGTACGGCGGCCAGAAAAAGTGGAATCTGGCCGCCATCTTGGAAATATCTTCGTGAAGTGATGGGAAAAAATTTGAAATATAGTCATGACCCCTGTAAATACTACTACAGTGCCAAATCACAGTTGATATGTCGATAAGATTATAGGGTGAAAATAAAAAAAAAATAAGTTGGAATATTATCGAAAACGGCTACCCTCACATAATGGCCTCCCATACCATGAAGACGTACTCCAAAAAATGTCAACATTGTTTTTGTTTTTTTGTCATTAAAAATCGAAACCTTCAAAATAAAGCTTATTCCACAATTGCTACCGAAAAGCCGACGGATTTACATTAAGGATCGGACTATACATCAACTTGTTATTTTATTTTCTCATGACCGTACTTCTGTCCTGATTTCGTTTCCGCGGCATATTTAACTAACCGTTCGATCATGAAATATTTTGACCATTTGTACAAACATCAACTTATTATATAGTATTTTATTTTCTGATTTATAATTTTATTGTTTAACATACAGCAGCTGATTGAGGTAGGCATATGTTGTTGTGCACACCTTACAGGGAGTAATGACCCTGTGATCAGAGTATGAATCTTCTGACTACTCCTATTGATATTCCAAGAAGTTGTTTTTCCTTGTGCCTCCCCAACAAGTGCAAAGGCGAGGGGTGATGATTACTAGTCACCCTGTTTTCTCTTAATAGGTCAACAATTCGGTTCCATAATAAGATTCAACTGACCCCGATAGCTACTGTCAATATCGTTATGTATATAACATATAACAAGGTCCCCGTTTCCTATCGGTAGTTGGTGTGCTTTAGAATTAGAGTTAAGTTAATTCAACATTTACGATCAACCACGGCTTTTTATTTTTGTGGTAGAATAGGTTAAAGATATCAAATTTGGAATCCCTTTACCCTAGTCTATCACAAATATTGTACTGTTATGCACCAACTGCCCTAATGAGCAATGCAGGTGTGCAATGAGAGACATTGTGTATAGATCGTGGCGTTTCCGCCTATTCGTCACCAATATCTACCTGTCAATGGTTCCTTAAAGTGCATGTTAATACGGGGTCTCATCCCAACGACTAGATGCTGTTCCTTGACAGCGCGTGCCCCCTCCTGCAACACTGTCAAGGAGAAACCATGCTTGGAAATAAAAGAACCCGGGACCTTCTGGTCGGTGAGCATTACTCACGGAGGCACCATGTACAGTTTCGAATTATCTACCTTAATTGAATGGTTTTCATATTCATTTGTATTAATACCATTGATGTCACCAAATATACCCACATTTTCATAAGCCTCTCCTGCAAAATATCAATTATTTTAAAATACTCTATACTAATTGCGTTTTCAAAAAGTAAAATTTTATTAAATAGTTACCCCATTTGAGTACGGATTTCTAGGATGTTTAATCAATAATTGAAACGTCTTTTACTGCCGCAAAAATAGCCGTCGGTGGCATAATTAACTACGTGCCAATGAACACTACTTTGGAGTTTGCGTTGTGTAAATAAACCCATCCACAATCTCACATTGGTAAAATGAAAGTGAAAATCGGGGAAACCGAATACATTGTATATCTAATTTATGTTTATATATATCATAACATCACTGCTACATAATTTCACAGGTATGATAATATGATTCACATTATTTATAGAACATAATAACATGTAATGTACCCAGTCACCTATTTGATCTCTAAATTTCGAATATTGAGTCCTCTACGTTCCTATAACTAGATAAATTAGAAAATGCCCCCCCCCCCCAACCCCAAATAAAAAGGCATTCTTTTTTGTCTTTTCTTTTGTGCAACGATTATCCATAATTCGCAACTATCTTAGTTGTTCTCGGGTAATTGCTTCCCGTAATGGGCAGATAAATAATTTCAAGCATTTTTAATAGTTTGGCTAGATTTGTCGCCTGCCAAACCTCTCCTGTATAATACAACAGTTGCAACCACATAATACCCCATCATGCTCTGCTTCAATTCACATCTACCATGATAGCAACGATATTCTATTATTGTTTACGAATCAAGACATATATTTTTAGTTAGATATTTTTGACTTCAGGAAGCGAATCTACGTTGACGATTCGAAGTTCAAAAATTTATACCATAATAAATATATATATATATATCAATTATTACCTTTTGATTTGTCGTTTGTTGGCTGTTTGTTTTTAACATTCCGTACTTTAGGTTTGGTATTTGTTATTTTAGGTTTGACATCAGTTGTTTTCGGTTTGGTATCCGTTTTGTTCGGTTTGCTATCATGTGGTTTAGGTTTGACATCAGGTTTGGTAGACTCCGTTGTTTCATCTGAAATACAATGGCTATAGTGTTGGGATATACACAGTATTTACGCCCGATTATCAAGGTGCCGAGCCCAACGTCTAAAAATCGAAGAAATGAACATAGGCACATAACCTATTATATGCAGGTATTATTTTAATAGTGTCAGTTTCCGTCCGTGATCAAACGGTAGATTAGTATCATTACTGAAATTTCTTAGAAAGTATTTGTCCACGTGCCCATGTCCTTACTTCTTGAGTAGGTGTCTAAAACAATGGTATGTTTTCAGAGGCGCGCGCCCCCCTAATTTTCGACAGTGCCCTTTTTTACTGCTGAAAGTGCCTTTTCTCAGACTCAAATATGTCCGTTCCCATCCCGTTGTAGGGATCCCAAATGACTCAAACCATGGACTCAAACACACCAGTCTGGGAAATAGCTCTTGGAATGGCTACAGATTCAAGGAAATGACGGATAATTTTCTTGGGCCCCCCCCCCCCTCCCCTCAGCGGCGTGCCTTCATTTTGCAGCGCTCCCCCTTTTCAAAATTCCTAGATCCGCCCCTGGTTTTGCTAATATTATGTGCTAACAGTTACTCGCCTGTCCTGTATTATTTTGTCCAGAACGTGGATGGTTACTTCAAAAATGCGATCGGACCTTTCCCCTTATAAATTCAGCACACCACTGTATGTACTATACGAAGGAGCATTGTCACTTAATGTTTTTGTCATGTCATCATAAATATATTTACTTTGGCCTAAACTTTTTCAAATAAAGGTACTGCATTCGATGTTCTCCATTTTGACAGCTATATACAGGTAATTATGGGAGCAGTGAAAATAGATACCATATATAATGTGTCAAAATTGTGTTTGAGGGTATATTATATGATGCTGTGTGTACTGGGACTGTCAGTAATATTTACTGTATTTCTACATGGCAGTTGATTTTTAAATACTTGATTTCATCAGATTTAGGTTTTTACTGCCTGTACTAATACCGTAATTTCACAGCTTTGTGTATTTATTTCCCCATAAAATTACAGATTTACTTCTAAAATGTAATAACAAAACTGCCGTCACTGGTAATATTAGAGGGGCGATTCCAATTTGCTGAAGCAAGTTATAGGTTTATTCATAAATAATTACAGTATCTATCGTCATCCATCTTTTATCCATCAATTACTACATTATTAGTGTTGAATCTAAAGCTCATCCTCTTACCGTTCTTAGTTTTATTTACAGTTGCATAAAGAGATTCTGGATTCGGTTTTATTTCTGTTGGTTTATTGTCTTTGTTTACTTGTGCATAGTTTGCAGTTTCATCTTTCTTAATTTCATCAGCACTGATGTAGTTCACCACCTCCTCTATTACTACGATTAAATAATAATAATAAGAAGAAGAAGAAGAACTAGATCTGCTAAGCAGATATGAAAGCTTTCATATTTGCTGTCACATGTCAAGGGTCATATATAGAATCTCAACAAGATAAAAAAAAACAATTAAAATCGGTCAAAAACTGGCGACGTTAATGCGATTTTTCACTCGTAAACAACTCTGTCGGCACGAAAAACGTCAAAGGCAAAATTCGAAATTGTGACATTTTCAAATACCATAAATTGGACCCTGATCCCGGCTATCCACAAATGTATTCATTTTCAAAATAGGAGACGTATTCTTCAAACTACGGCCTATTGTTTTCATTTTCATGTCCGTTATCGTCGATTTTTCACTTTTTCTCATATTCAGTTCAAAATGGTGACCATCAATTGACCTAAATCAAAATTCTAATCCGATAGATTTTTAGGCATTCCTTCAAGGATTCAGAAAATGTAACTCCCATGTCTAGCCGTAAATTGACGAACGGCAGGAACCGTGTCAAGAACAAAGGACCTGAACGAATGCAGGTATCGCCTTGAAATTTTCAGGGCACCTATGTACCAACGTGAAAAGTTCCTCGCGGAATTTGGTAGTCCAGCGTGGCGCATGCGCGAAGTCAAAAGAAGTTGCGGTGGATTTTGGGTGGATTTCGGAGTGGTTTGGGGGATTTCGGGTGCTTCCGTGAGGTCGGGTGGATCTAAGATGGCGGCCATAATACAATAACAAGTGTTGGAGAACTTTTGCAACCGGGGTTGATTTTCAATGCACAGGCATCGTTCCGGTGGTCCGATTGCCTTCAAATTTGCACATAATGTACCGTGGGTTTCTAAATATCACATATTCAAAATAGAAGAGTGTGGGATTCCGAGAACGTTGAAAATAAATTCGAAGCCCACCCCCACCCATCAATGTTTTTTTGCTTAATAAATTGCCGTATTTTATCGATTTTTTATTGTTCTTGATATCTGAGCATTTTCTCCTTTTAATATGTGATAAATATCATCGCGGCGCAGCCAACCGCTAGAAATTCCAGAGATTTTGACCACCGGAAGGGTGCCTCAGCAGTCAAAAAAGGTCAAAAAAGGCGATTTCGGATTTTAGTGTCGCAAACATCGTTCCGGTCATTTTAAAAAATTGTCTTTTAAGGATAATGTGTATAGTACTAATACCTATCACATAGGGAAGAGGCGATAAAATCCCTGTGCATTTACAATTTCAAAATTAATTAAAACTAAAATTAAATTCCGAAAATCGTTTCTTTTTTTTTTTTGCTAAAACTTTTTTTTTAATCGGATCAAAATGGGAGTAAAGCACAGAGTCCGGGTGGTAATGGGCGTATTGTGTCCAAATTTCATGGTTTTCGGACGATCGGTACCGGTGTCGTGGCGAAATTCGACTTTTTTCCCCTTATAGAAGCCGTAATTGGACTTTGAAAAAAAAGTGACCTGGAGTCGTGCCAAGAACTTGAAGGAATGCAGGTATCGCCTAGGTATCAACGTGAAAAGTTCCTCGCCGGAATTTGGTACTCATGCTACCTTTGGTTCCAGCGTAGCGCATGCGCGAACTCAAAAGCAGCTAAATACGTTGTTATGGTGGATTTATTTTTTAAAAAATGGTCCCATCTCTTCGAAACTTCGGGTACCCCCCCCCCCATTTCCGAGCTCGGGTCATTAAAAAATGGTCTCAAAATTAAAATCGAACACCTAGTTCCATCTCTATTTTTTGTTTAACTTTATGTACCCCCGGGAACATAGCCACCGCTTGCCCCCCATTGGTCTGGCCCAAAAATTTATTTTTTGGAATTGTGCTTGGGACCATAGGCCAGGTACCTGGTGAGTGTCAAGTTGATGTGCGCGCGCGTACACGCGAAAACATCCTTGTCGACAGGAAAACATCAGAGGCGAAATTCCAATTTTTTAAAATTTTCAAATACCAAACATTCGATCATGAGCCTGGCTATCCTGAAATGTATTAATTTCGGTAATAGGAGACAGATTCTCTAAGCCACGACCAATTGTGTATGTTTTCAAGCCTATTAATGTGGATTTTTCACTATTTTTCATTTTCAATTCAAAATGGCGTCCATCATTTGCCAGAAATCAAAATTCTACTTCCTACATTTTACGGGATTTCCTTCAAGGATTCGAAAAATATAATTCCCTTGTCTGTAAGTAAAATATCAAAAAAGACCTTAGCGATATTTCACATTTCAAGATGGTGGCACTTCCAGATTGGGCTACAAACTCCAATTTTTGTTAACGAATCAGAAGTGTCGTAGCTAGTACAGAAAAAAAAATCAAGGCAATCTGACCTATATTTAGTCAATTTTTGAGAAAACTTTAATCCTTTATTTCTCTAAGGGGAGATAAGTTATGGAATTTTTAATGGTATCGTTGAAGTTGGGTCAATGAGATCTACATAGATTCCAAATTTCATGAAAATCGTACCAATAATAAAGAAGTTGTCAATTCTGTTTTACTTCCGGGACGAAATGTCAATGACGTAATTTTCGAAATTCGAAAATCCGAAATAGCAGATTTAAAGTAAATACTTCAAGAATCTCAAAGAAAAAAGAATTAGTAAAATAGGTCACATAGTCACAGAGTTATGGGTATGTAAGTCAATTTCTTCGTTCGTAAAATTCGGTGATTTCGGATTCGTGAAAAGTTTTGAAAATATATTCAATCAAAATCTACTACCCATTTTTGGCGGGGGTAGGTCAGAGTTTCAGAAAGATCCTATGGTTAGATTCTGAGAGATCCGATTTGCAAAAGTGCACAAAAAAAAATAATAATAATAATCTTAACAAAAACAATAAGCTTTCATATAAAATATGAAAGCTTAATAATGATTATTTATATTGTGCACATTCCGTTTATATGGTATGCTCATGGCACAGGTTGTATAGGCTCTTCAGTTTTATAGTTCACTGTATATAATAGGATTTAAACATATGAGATTTTAAACGTTGCGTTAGAAAGCGGTAATTTTGTGACCTTTGGGTGCGTTTGGGGATATATTCCGGTAGCATTGAGCCCACATATCCGCGTGCTGTTCCGTTTTAAGATTTGTCGTCCATACAAGGTGTTGAAAATGAATTTTGTGAGTGATTGGTAGCCAGTGTAACACATGTGTAATAAGACAGTTTCTGTCTGATCTGCAGACGATCCTTGCTGCAGTGTTTTGCACAATTTAAAGTAAGTTTGTTGATCCGGTTTTTCTACCTTGGTCACAGGGGCTCTAAAATCTCAGATCATTCTACTGGAAGTATATAACATGAACTATTGGGTAATGCACAGAATGTTGACCGATATTTAGGTCCTTTATCCTGAAATAAGTCTTTAGGAGGTTGTTCAGGCATTAACATTTGGAATTGGCCACATCAACGGTTGTTATAGATAGGGTATTAAAAGCTTTATGAACAAAAAGAAAGAATATTTACTCATTCTCCCTGGCTGTCTACTTGGAACTTCTACCAGGGGCCTAAAATAAGAATTTTGAATTATTAATTATATATCAAAGTACAACAAAAGTTAATTAGCTATTATCTGTCTGTGCGTATCATCTTGATATTGAATGAAAAATGTCATTCAAAGCAAACCTTGAACTTCACTGTGCTAGGATAATACAAATTAGCACAAGACTTGATGAAACTGGAACCAAAGTCATAGTCTTTTCGAAATGAATAGTATCTGTTCTAGTCTCGTTTATGCCTCTATGGGATGAGTGAGTTATTAGCATGGTTAACTTATGTGAGAATTATGCATAGAATTCATGTCTAATATGGAGATGGGAGACCAAGGTACTAATTCCTAACATGGAGATAGATTTCCACATTTGGCCAGAAAGATATTTTACGTCACTGGCGGTACATTCCGCCGGGAAGTTTGATTAAACAAAGGGGGGCCAAATGACGGTGGCTAAGTGGGTAAGACGCTGGCTCGCTAGCCTGGAGGTCGGCTGTTCAATCCTTCCATTAGCCGAGAAAGTTCATCCAGATTTTCCGGCGTTGTTCCCCACTATGTCAGTGATGCAGGACGGGGGGCCAGACAAGGACAGCTGTCTAGTCGTTCGGATTGGACGAAAAACCGAGGTCCCATGTACGTATTGGCGTGCACGTAAAATATATAAGAGTAAACCGTAGTGTCGCTGTCCGGGCAAAATTCACCTCATAGCACACTGTATAGCGTATGCCAGTCTTCATTAGCCCACTTCGGAGCAGAACAGTAGGACGTTAAACCCCATTTCATTTATCTATTCATGTAGCATATCATGTAATGTTCTGTCTAATAAAACTTGTTTACGAGTTTGCAACCAATATTAAGCAGCGGTCATGATATTATTACAAAACATAATTATATGATTGGTTACTGCATTTACACAAAATACAACTTACCCCATAAAATAATCCGTCTGGATGCAAAAAGTAGAAATAAACAATATTTATCGGGCATATATAGTCAAACGTCATGCATTACATAATGATATATGTTTGTAGATACCCGCTTATTGATATGGACTACCAAATTATCAAACTATTGACATAGCGGAAAAAACACACTGTAAACCTTTTTAGAATCATCTTTGGTTATCGTTGAAGACTTGCAAGCATTATTATGTGGTAGGAGGCTTGGTCATGACACTGCAGTGTCAGAATTCTGCAACTTCTGAAGATACACGAGTTGTCTCTCAACTACAAGAAAGCGTATAGGTTATGTGTAATGTGTATAATATAATGTGTTGGTATAAACAAAACTACTACTTACACGTTGTGTCTGTTTTCTGTATCGTCATCTGTAACATAAGCATACACAGACAGTGTACTATATAGCTACATACTAATTTATAAATTGCAGCCTGGACATCAACAAACGTAATGTCTAAATGTTAGCAGTTTTTGCATTCCTTTGTAATGTTTTTCAATATGTTAACCATTAATTACAATATATCAGGTTCTTTCCTTTATTTCCAATTTGGTGGGTATAAAAGTTCTTCTTGGTGGTGGAATCATATAGCTTAACATACCATTTGAATTAGCACTTGTTCGTCTACAATTATATGATTTGTAACTTAATCCCTAATGTGAGAATCCAGATGATTAGCATTATCCACATTTGGGAATTCAAAACGTATATACTGGATTTCATGATAAACTTACTTTGTTTTCTGTGTCTTTTGATAAGGACAACCACAACTACAATAACCAGAATGGCTGCCACAACTCCTCCAATAATTCCACCTATTAATCCCCAGTTAGATCCTGGTCCTGGTGAGTCTACTGAAATATAAGGATTTGTGTTAATATAAGGATTTATGTTAATATAAGGATTTTATAATAGTAAAAATAAAAGGACATTGTACGAGACTATTTAATTTTGGATAAAATACCTTGGTATTGTGAGTATTTGAAAAACTGTCCATTTTTCCGGTGAACATGAAATTATAGTTTAGTTACTTAGGCCCATATTTTCGAACAGTGTCTAAAATAATCTGTGATTAGGTCTAATCAGTAACTAGCTAGTTAGAGATTAGTGGTTGATTAAGTTTGGTATTCTCAAAAGTCAGATTAGCTAATCTTTGACTATAATTTTTTGTAATCAACGATTAAAATTCATGTTTAAACTTTGATTATAATTAAACATTTAATCAATGATTATATATAATATAGTTTGTTCTGTATCTAGTCTACCTACCTATCTTTAAAGTGCGTATTGTAGAAGAGCCATCGGGTGATATCAGATAAACTGGTTGACTATCACCATAATTATTTCTAGCTATAACTCTAATATAATATGGTGTATCAGCTTGTAGATTCTCTATACAATAATCAGGTTTAGATTCTGGTAGAGGTGTAGAACTAGTCCAGGTTTTATTATCTACTGAATGTTCAACAATAAATTCCTGTTGATCTCCACCATCAAATCCTGGTGTCCATGTAATACAGATACTGTCATGACGTGTCGCTGATGAGTTGGTATTAAACGGTACATCAGGTTTAGCTGAAACTGATTTTTCAGCAAGTGATTAATGTCATTTTATCACCCAATAATACATTCTACAGTAGACATCGCTTGTGTGATAAATTTCATAATCTACTGCGATATATCCTTAGGAGATATCGCTTTACATGAATTTGATTGTAGGGTGACCCACCATAAATAAATATCTCTAAATATCTCGACAATTACGCCACAATATTTATATATATACCAGGCCTTAAATCAGTTTTACACAATTATAGTCACTAAATAAACGATCATGATGTACTTAATAAGCTATGATCATTTAATCATCTATAAATAATAGACTGAAACTAGTTCCAAGTTTCGTCCATAACATCCAGACACTTTTGAGTAAAAGATAGGTTACGTGCCCTTGTTTTGAAATTAGTCTCGCTTAACCAGTGTACCGACCATTCTACGTCTGATTGACAGGTCGGGATAATCAAGACTACTTTTTTACGAAACATAACAGAATGCTGGAACAAGAAATTGAAATTAGAAACTCGCACGTTAGCCAGCTCAACAATTGTTTTAAGAAACTTGTAAATGTAAAATGAAACTACTGCTAGTATCATGTTCCTGCTAACGAAAGTGATTCAGAGATATTATATGTACTAAACCAAAAGATGCCGCTCTCAACGGTACAGTTAATGATAAAGCAATTTAAAAAATAAAACGAACGTAATTTTTAAAGCTGCTGTAATAACCAAGAAGCTAAATTTTACTGCTATTCAAAATCGTCAACAATAGATTTTTTACGGCTGTAATAGTTGATAGATTTGTAGAGAATTGCACGTGCCATGGCTATTTATAGACCATACACTCCACCGCTGATAGTTCGAGACAACCACTGAAGCGTGCACATTAGCCGTGTCGAGACCAACTTTCTGTAGAGTGCACGGGTCACCCTATGATTGGTCAATTAAAAAGGAACTACTTTTTTTATTTTCAAAGAACAGTTCATTTTTTATTAAAAGTAACTTTTTTCTTATTAAAAAAGAATAATTTTTATTTAATTGACTTTGATGGAAACACTTGGTCAATATAAAGGACTTTGCAGTGACTGAATTGCTGCCAGAAAGTGATGTATCACTACGCCGTAATGCAGTCAGGTTCAGTAAAATTGAAATCTATAGCAACGAATTATACTTATTTATTTGTGCATGTAAGAAAGGATTGAGTGATAAATAAATCTCCCACTTGTCTTTTTTGATATCAAAAAATATTACAGCCTCGTTTTTTTTATACTTTATCGACTTGTGTTGATATTTTTTGATATCAAAAAAGACTCGTAGGAGATTCTCTATATAATACATGCGTAATGCATGTGTTTATATATTTTGAAATTGTTCAGTTTGTGTTAAAAGCATGAAGCTTGGCAAGCATATACGGTTTATATGCTGATCATTTTACAATGTGCGGTCACTTGGGTCATCAATGCCAAATTAAACATTTGAGGTTTAAATTATCTGAACGTCATTGAGGAATATAAAGGTTTAATCTAATCCATAAAAAGTAATATATATTATGGTTCCTTTTCGTTTAGCATTTACAAAGAAACCATGATTTGAAAATACGTCAAACTTTGAAATTCGAAATCTACTGTAGACAGACTAGGGCCACCTTTAATAGGGCCGCTAAGTCACGCGACGATTTCTTCGGTAATCTACTTCCGGTGACATGCACCGCGCATGGCGGAAAATACGATGCTTCGCAAAGCATTGAATGTGAATCAATGATGTGTTTGCGGCACCAATTACTTTTGTTTTACAAAAGAAAAATAACAGATATTTTAGTTTGTTTATCAAGGTATGTAAATCAATTATTTAAACATATATCTTAATAAAATATTTCATTTTAATCTCGAAATAGTAGGCCCTACGGCCCAAGCCTTGGTTTTACAGTTTTAGCCTTTTTCGATAGGTAGCGGTCTGAGTTAGATTTGTTTACAAACAAACCCCATTACCAGTGCATTATTCCTCCGCCTGCACATTCAGTGCTTCGTAAATTTAAATTTTAATTTCTTGATTGTTATATAAAGTTAAAAGAATTATTCCCATGGGTTATAATTAAAAGTACCGGTAATGCCAATTTGGAAAATATGTTATTATAGTAGGCCTACTTGTGTTTTAAAATAAAAAAAAACCTCAAGTACATACGCTCACGTATTACGATCTCCCTTGAATTTTTCGACAAGTTAAAACTTTACTTAGTTAGATGTGTTTTATTTTAGCAGATTGGTGGATTATAATATGATGGTGATGAAATGTTCAAGTTTTTAGCGCAGAGAGGATGGGCGAAAAACGGCCGTAGCACACGTGGACTGTGTTCTGATTCAAGAAGTAGGTAATTTGTCAAATAAAGAATATGGACGAATATTAAAATTAAAATATTTAATTTTACTTAGTCTAGGCCTATATTCAGTATAATTTAGTACCTTTTTGCAATTTATGGTTTTACTTGACAGACCGATCTCACGGCATTTTCCGAAGATTTGTAAAAAAAAAAATAATACTAGGCCTCATGAAGATTTTTCATTTTGTGAAGATTTGTGAGGTTTAAAAATTAAATATTAGTTTCTCATGATCTATATAGGGCTTGCCTTTTTTTTAAAAAAAAAAATGATCAGTTCTCAAAAAAGTCCCGATAAGCAGGCAGAATATCTCTCTGCATTTTGTGAGGAATTGTAAAGTTAAAATTATATAGGCCTACTAGGCCTCATGATATAGGCCTACATGTACCTGTTTCTAAAAACCGTGATCAGCTGTCAAAAAACACTGTCACAATATACAGGCATTTTATGAAGATTTGTAAACTAAATTTAAAATAATACTAGGCCTTGGGATATATATAGGCCTATATATTTCTAAAAAAATGGTGATCAGCTCTCAAAAAAACCCTGTCACAATATGCAGGCAGGATATCTCACAGCAGTTTGTGAAAAAAAAAACAGTGATCAACTATCAAAAAAAGTAAATAAGGACACACGATATGCAAGATTTTTAATTATATGGCAACACATTTGTCTAATTTATTACATTTTTTTCCCCAGGTGAAGGAAAAGGGAAAAACGTTTGTGTCAGGTTATACCAGAATTAGAAAGAACTTGGTTTTCTGTTAAAGGTGGGCATATACGGTTCTAATTGTGACGGAATTCTAACACGAGTTAGGAAATGAAATGAAAGGAAATGGGGTTTAACGTCGTACTGTTTTGCTTCGAACTGGGCTAATGAAGACGGGCATACGCCATACAGTGTGCTATGAGGGAAATTTTGCCTGGACAGCGGCACTACGGCCTACTCTTATATCGAATTCCAACTGCCAAGGGATCATTTATGTGCACGCCAATGTGTACACGGGACCCCGGCTTTTCATCCCATCCGATCGACTAGACAGCTTTCCTTTTCAGCCCCTCCGTCCTGCATCACTGATAAGGGAGAACCTGAATTAATAAAAATTCAGTTTTTGTTATAAGTTATGCCTAAATTAAAGGCAGTTCTCAGATTTCATAGGCTACGACTTTACAGATTGGTTTATAATCAAATCAAACTCAATGCCAAGAAAGTACCACCGAGTTCAGGTAGTTCGAATTTGTACAAGACTTTGATAAAGGTTTTTAAAGAGTTCCTTTAGGCTTCAACCAGCATCTTTGTATTTTCCCAAAAAGGCCCTAATTTATGTACAAATCCACCCCTTTCATGACATCAATCTGATATTCATTATAATGTTATTCTTCTCACAAAGAAATAATATTCCAAATTCCACTGATATTCTGCTTAGCTGCACATTATTCTCCAATTGGTTAAAATTATTTAAATTTAATTTAAAAACAAAATACTCAGCTAAATCTACAGCTTATTATTTTGCCTTTTTATTAATTCCAAAACTTTGTAAAATAATAAGTATAAGGGTGCTCACTTCAATATATTACTTAGAAACACTTTTCGAAGTTCAGTCGTTTGGGAAGTGGATGAATGTGTATATGACTATTCTAAGTCAAAAGACAATCCGTAATATATTATGCGTGAATGAATACAGTAGACAATAGTGCTTGGTATGTACGCGTAAGCCGCTCGATCGATGTGACAGCCCAAGCCCAGTGCCAGTACTGTTTTGCCGACAATATTGTCCCCGGTATTTAACTTTATATATTAACCAGTCACTACATTATTATTATTCAATCGCTTGATTTATATTTTCTCAAATAAATGGAACGATGACTAGATTGTACAAATTATAGGCCTAACTAATGATAATGGATTTTCAACATACCTGCTTGCAGGACTCAACGGAGTTTAATCGTGCAGGCAGACGGCAGTCAGTCGATCGTCGCTTCGTCATTTTTACAGCTAATAAATCTCCACAACTCTCCCTTTTGCATATTTTATGACATTGTTTTTCGTATAAATAATTACTGGTGAGCGAAGATCACAACACTGTTTGGAGTAAGGCACAAATAAATAAATATTTAACCCGATTCACTCGCTTGCTTTCACCGTTATCAGGCTAAAAAAATCGCGTGATTTTGACACATGTCACCGGAAGTTCAATTTCTCGTGAAATCTCGCAATTTTGCGGGATTTACTTATCGGCCCTACATCTCTAAAATCTCTTAATGAGAGGGTGTGGTGTAACAATTAGACAATTTGGATCCATTTTAGCGTGGATTATTACGTCGTGGACAATACACCAAGAACAATTTCGACATGTAAACTTGTTAAACAGAGGTAGTAAAATCCCATATATCAGTCGGAAGTGACAAAATCCATCCTGTTACATCAGAACACAATCTAGGAGGCATATTCAATGACAATATGAACATGCCCAAGTTTATATCATCCATTAATAAATTCAGATAAGTAAAGTTAGAAAATATCTTGATTTAAACTCCACAAAACTTATGGTAAACTCTTTAGTAACCTCAAGCGTCGACTATTGCGATTTATTCTATGGACTTCCAGCATCCTCTCGTCGGATCCTTCCGAAGATACAGGGGGGTTGGATGGCTGAATCATAAAGTCTGTCATTGAGTCGACTGGCGTGGTTCGAATCCCCGGTTGTACGTGACAAGGAGTGGGGTTTTCTCCGGGTCCTCCGGTTTCCTTCCACTGCTCAAGACCCCTACGCGCAACCGAATTATTGAAATAAAATTAAACCATATGTTAGTCCCGAAAAGACCTAGTTTGTGTCGAGTGGACGTTAAATCCATTTCTCTCTCTCTCTCTCTCTCCGAAGATACAAAACACTTTCGCTAGAATGAGGGACATTCTCAAATCGAATTCCAGCTGTCAATATTTATTTTACGTCCACGCCAATATCGGTTTTCGTGCGAATGATTATACGTTGTCGCTTCGCGCGCACTAACTATGTCATGCACCATATTAGCATTATTGTTGTCTGCAAGGGATTCCTCAGTGATGTTAAATATCTTAAACGTAAAAATTGAATTACAAGAATTTGTCATTTAGGATCGATACTGTTAAGTTCATAATGCTAATACTGTACGTTATAACCAATATTATTATATACATTGTCTGAATATATTGTATAATATATGTTATATTATACTTACATTGAGCTACAACTTCATACTCTAGTTCTGTATAACCAATATTATTAGATACATTGACTGTATATGATGTATAATAAATGTTGGATGTAATGTTGATATTTAATGTTGATCTATAAGTGTTGATAGAAGTATGGTTATCAATATATTCAAAGATGTCGTCGTTATAGATAGGTTCAATATCTCCAGTAGTTTTATTATTATAATACCAGGTGACGGTTGGTGGTGGATAGGATATAACATCAGCTACCAGTTGTACTATATCTGTTATATTACCACTAACTATAGATGTTGTTATAATTCTAGTATCTTGTCTAGGTGAACCTGTATATAACAATATTATAATAGGATATAACATTAGCTACCAATTGTAATATATCTGTTATATTACCACTAACTATAGATGTTGTTATAACTCTAGTATCATGTCTTGGTGAACCTGTATATAACATTATTATAGATATAACATCAGCTACCAGTTGTATTATATGTTATATCACCACTAACTATAGATGTTGTTATAACTCTAGTATCTTGTCTAGCTGAACATGTGTATTATAACAATATTATAGATATAACATCAGTTACCAGCTGTACTATATCTGTTATATTACCACTAACTATAGATATTGTTATATACTATTCAAAAAAAGTAGGGGATATTTGATTTTTAAGTGTTATTAAAGTCACCTAATGAAACTGACGAAGAAACAAATGACAAAATGAAATGAAGTTCACATTCATCGATTTATTCCAAATGATCGTTAGACTAAGTAAGGCACAGACTGACCATTATAAGGGTAAAATGATACCCGGGGTCAAACAGCAAAGTTACCACAGCATCACAACCAAGTCAGTAACGGGTAAATCCTCCTCTGTTTGCCAAACAAGCATTGATCCGACGTGGCATACTCCTAATGAGACGTCTAAGGTCATTTTGGTCCAGATTGTCCCATTCCTGTTGCAACGCAGCAGCAAGTTCTTGGACATTGGCAGGACGTTGTTGACGTTGACGTAACCTCTGTCCAAGCATGTCCCAGACATGCTCGATGGGGGAGAGGTCGGGACTCAGTGCTGGCCAAGGTAATGTGGTGATGTTCTGTTGTTGGAGGTAACCTGTAACGATCCTGGCCCTGTGACATCTTGCGTTGTCATCCTGGAAGATGAAACGGCGGCCATGACGTCGTGCGAACGGCACAACATGGACTGCCAAGATGTTGTCCCGGTAGTACTGTAACACGCCCTGCAACAACATGTAAAGCCGTTCTTCCAGCAACAGTGATGCCTCCCCACACCATAACAGAACCACCCCAAATCGATCATGTCTGATGACGTTAACGTCTTGGAAGCGCTCGTTTCGACGACGCCACACCCTCCTACGTCTGTCCAAAAAATCAACAGTGAACCTTGACTCATCTGAAAACATCACATTGCTCCAGCGTCGATTATCCCAGTGTTGACGATCCCTACACCAACGACGTCTTGCCTGAATGTGATGATCTCTCAAACAAGGGATCACGCGAGGACGTCGGGCGCGAAGGTGACCCCTATGCAGTCGATTCCGAATCGTCTGGCCACTCACTCTCACACCAGTGTCTGTTTGAAGACGAACGCTGATCTGATTTGCTGTGATGACACGATTTCTCAAGGCCAAGGTACGGATAAATCGATCCTGGGCTTGAGTTGTCGCCCTTGGTCGACCTGAGCGTGGTCTGTCCTGTACAGATTGTGTATCACGGTATCTGGACCATAGCCTGCTTATGACAGACTGAGAAACATTCATCGTCCGCGCCACAACGGCCTGTGTTGTGCCGATCTGTAGCATGCCAAGGGCACGTAACCTTTCATTTTGGGTAAACCGACGCATATCAAAATTTGTTTTCTGGTCACTAAAACAATTAAACTGATGTTTCCACCCTGGAATTCAATGCCACAATGACTGTAACATTCAACGTCAGAGTCGTGCAAATCTTGGGTTGGACCCCCATGATGATCCCAAGCATCACCTGCATTCCATGCGGTAGCTATTGGTGCGTTTGGGCGTCACATGTAACTGGAAATGTTTCTTCTGTTAGGTTCTATAGTGACTTTTTTCGTAGTCATTTGCATATTTTAGTATTATGCCCCCAAAATCAAATATCCCCTACTTTTTTTGAATAGTATAGCTTTAGTATTTTGTCTAGGTGAACCTGTATATACAAATATTAAAGATAGGATACGTCATACACTATTAAACTGATACCGTTGACCTATGAACCCAGCTCTTTTAATAATGTAATATGGAACACGAAATTGAATTTAGAAACACGCACGTTAGGCAACTCAACAATTGTTTTAAGAACCTTGTAAAAGTAAAATGAAACTAGTATCATGTTCTTGCCTAACCCGAGTGTTTCAGAGATATTGTTTGTACTAAACCAAAAGATGTCGCTCCTAACGGTACAGTTAATGATAAAGCAATTTAAACATCTAAAGCTGTTGTAATAACTAAAAAGCTAAATATTACTGGCTATTCAGAATCGTCAGCAATTGATTTTTTACAGCTGTAATAGTTGATAGATGTGTAGATAATTGCTGGGTATTATTGCACTGCGTGATTAGCCAACAAATCACTTCGGGACAAGCCGCTGAAGAGTGCGCATTCGCCGAGACGAGTTCAACTTTCTGTAGGGAAACTTTTCGCTGCACGGATCTAATGTGTAAACATTGTGTACATTATAATAACAACTTTGATCTGTTTGTGTCATATGTATCTTCTATATATATATATATATACTAATATTTGTGACTGTCGTTTGTGTGTCCGTTTGTCTGTCTGTCTGTCTGTCTGTCTGTTCGGGGTTGGCGGCTACACTAGGTCTGCCCCGAGTCTGAAATTTGGGGTAAAAGGGTAGCTCGGACCGGGGAGTAACATAGGCCAGGTGGCGTTAGTCTAGCATTTCCGGTTTCGGAGTTATGACCCCCGAGCGAAGCCGGGTATCCTGCTAGTTCATTAATAAAAGTGTTTTGTTCAATGATATCATATTTATAGTTACATGTTGTACTATATCAGTTATATACGTACAGTTAATAAATACTTTCAATGTTTGGTTGTATTTAACATTTGGTATTTCACTATTGGTAGCGTGGCAAGTATAGTCACCAGTATCCAGACATGTAGGTTGTTTTATAGTAAAGGTATTACTGTTGGTTTGTTTAGGGGATATGTTAGTTGTACCATTGTGCCAGGTAATCAAGGCTACAGGGTTACTGTTAGTAGAACACGTGATGTTGGTTGAATCTCCTTCATTTACGGTCAGTTTATCTCCAGTTGGTAATAAAGTTACTGGATCCAGATCTGTTAAAAAATATACAAGTTCATACAATATTATTTGTGATGAATCAAGTTTTCAGATTATAATTCATGACAATTGACAGTAAATATGTTAATAGGCAGTGGAAAAATCAGTTTATATTTTTCATGTGCATGGCAGTTGTGGGTATATTGACTACAGGAAAGTAGGTATCGAAATGAAATGGGGTTTAACGTCCTACTGTTCTGCTCCGACTGGGCTAATGAAGACGGGCATACGCCATACAGTATGCTATGAGAGAAATGCTTCCCGTGCAGCCGCACTATGGCCAACTCTTATATCCGATTCCAACTGCCAAGGGATCTTTTACGTGCACACCAATCTATACATGGGAACTTGATTATTCTTCGAATCCGAGCGACTAGACAGCTGTCCTTGTCAGGACCAACTCCCTGCACCACTGATAAGGGGAAACTACGCCGGAAAATCCCGATGAACTTTCTCGGCCAATGCAGGGATGGAACTTGCGAACCAGCGTCTTACCCACTTAGCCACTGTGGCTCCCTGTGATTCCTATAACTGGTTACAGGTATACTATACTAAGCAGCAAAAGAAACGTCAGGTTGGTATGTTACTCTGAATAGACGCATATGAAACCTGCCAAATGTTTTTATTGTATATTTGTTACAACATCTCCATATTTACCAGAGTAATAAGGCTCCTTCCCAAACACAGAATTGGAACCATGAAATTTTCTCAAAAACGCAACCAGACTTCTGAGATGGTAATGTGTTCTCCATGATTTTCATGTAACGCATGCTGCACATGCTGTTCACACTACAACGTAAGCAGCATGCCGCGACTCAAAACAGCTCAGAGGATCCAGGCGCTTGGAATACTCGACGCTGGCGACATTGCCCAAGCCGTTGCCAATTAACTTCTAGGTCAATGTTCGGACCATCTACAGGCTTCGGCAACGCTTTCAGGCCACCAACTTATGATCGACCCCGAACTGGTAGACAAAGGGTTACCACAAGGCGACAAGACCGCCATGTTGTGCGACAGCACATGCAGAATCCCTTCACGCAGGCATCTGTAACAGCACGTCAGACAGTGGGAACACACGGAAGATCAATCAGTACCGATACAGTGCCGACGTCTTACCAGAGAGAACATCCATTGCCGTAGACCTTACCGTAGACCGATCCTCACCCCTCGCCATCGACGTGAACGTCTACAGTTTGCCCAACAACACACGCAATGGCGACACAGGCAATGGAGAACTGCAGATGGCAGGACCAGAATATGGCGTCGACGTGGCCAGCGTTATTCTGACCAATGTGTCATGGAACGAGACTCATGGGGAGGTCCAAGCATAATGGTTTGGGATGGAATTGGGCTGAACCAGAGAGTGGGTCCTGTGGTGTTCCAAAATCTTGGTCGAGGAAGAGGTGGCGGCATCACAGCAGTGCGCTACATAGATAAAGCTCTCAAACCCCAGGTCATACCACATTTCGCACGTCATCGAAACAACGTTTTCCAGCATGACAACGCCCGTGCCCACACCGTCAGGGTTACTCGAGAAGTTTGGGGTTTTTTTTGTGCTGTTTAGTATATAACTATTACTTTACTGTGTACTATTACTGTACTGTGTACTATCAGATATTGTTATAGAGCAGTAATAGCTTTACATCTAGTTATAGGTTTATTATAAGATACTGCTATATACTTACACAGTACAGTAACATCTATAGTTTTATTGTGAGATCTAGTTATAGAACTACCATTAGTTGGTTCTAGAGTAGTAGTAGCTTCACATCTATATATACCACCCTGATTCCTGGTGATATTAGATATATCAAGTCGTCCATTAGAAGATACATCAACACTGCTACCATCTGGTTTATACCATTCAAAGGTAGTTGGTGGTGGATTTGATTCAACACTACAGATCAACTGAAGGTCATCATTCTCTGTTTTACTTACAGAATCAACTGATACATTTACTATAGGACCGACTAAAAAACAAAGTATATAGATATACATATCCAGAAATATTAGCACAACCGTAAAGCTGCACTACAATATATATATATAGATAGATAGATAGATAGATAGATAGATAGATAGATAGTGTAGTGCAGCTTTAAATGCCTACATGTTTCGCCGTTAGGTTTTCAAGGCAATAATAGATAATGGCGTTACGTCATTATGTAGCGTCATTATATATATATATGTATATATATATATATATATATATATATATATATATATATAGAGAGAGAGAGAGAGAGAGAGAGAGATGGGGTTTAACATCCACTCGACACAAACTAGGTCATTTCGGGACCAACATATGGTTAATTTTATTTCATTAATTTGCATGCGCGTAGGGATCTTTAGCAGTGGGAGGAAACCGGAGGACCCGGAGAAAACCCACGAGGTTGGACAGGCGACCCTACTCCCTGTCACGTACAACCGGGGATTCGAAACCACGCCAGTTGACTCAATGGCAGGCCGTATGATACAGCACGCACGTGCTAACCATTCGGTCATTCAATCCCCCGTATATAAATATAACGGCCAGTCAGATGAGACAGTTAAGGATATTAAGTCAGATAATACAGTTATGATGAAAACAGTAACAAGGATCTAGGCAGGTGATGGGGTTATCATTGCAATAAACAAAGAACATGTCTGATATTTTAGGCATCGTCCTAGTTATACCAAAATTGATCACCAACCTATGACCATTTCAGTGGTACCAAAGCCACTATAGGAGGTTATTAATATAAATAGACGGTTACAAATACTTACATAAAACATCAAGTTGTACAGGTATAGATGATCTACCTGATCCAGCACTATTACTACCTGTACAGGTATAATTATTGCCTGTATCTGATCTCTCTACTGATTCTATTGTATACATAGATGAATTTTGACCTGTGATCTGTACATCATTCTTATTCCATTTATAAACATTAGATGGTACTGCTAAATCAGAATTATTGACTTGACAAGTCAACACGAGATGTTCCCCATCTATGACTTTATATGGACTGGTTGACGGTTCTATATGTACGACTGGTCGCACTGCAATATAAATATATATATGCATAGTAATTATTATATCGTGAATGACTGGGTGATGGTTCTATATATACAGAACTAGAATGTAAATATAGTCATAGTAATTATTATACTGTATAAAGACTGGATGATGGTTCTATATGTACATAACTAGAGTATAAATATAGTCATGGTCTTTATTATACTGTATATAGATTGGGTGATGGTTCTATATGCACAGATGTGACAGAACTAAAATATAAATAAAGCCATAGTAATTATTATATATAAGTTGATGGTTCTATTTGTACTTCTCGATCTAGAATATAAATAATAGCCATATAGATTATATTTCCGCCAAGAAATCATTTTTAAGTTTCACCAAAACCTGAGTTAAAATCTGTTTAACAATTCTAAACCAAGACATAGACAATGGGGGTGAAAAGGTTTAGCAAAATAAACTCGCGTAACATATATTAGTAGGTCGTTTCAGGGGCGGATCGGCCGTGTGTTTTATCCTTTATCGTCAGATGTGGTTCAGGATGGTCACTCAAAGCACGAGATAATGATATAGACATTTTGTGATATCACAATTAATGCTTTGCATGTATGAAATTGAATCACAATGTCATAGTATTAATTTATAATAAAAATTGACGTCAAACGAGGTGTTGAATTTTTCTGTGTATGTATATTCGCCAAAATGACGATAAACACCATGCGAGAGGAGGGTGGGGGGAGATACAATGTCACATGAACCTGGCAAACCCCCTCCTGCAAAGATTCCTGGATCCGCCCCTGCGTTTCGTATATACCCCACTATATATTTTTCACAATTGAAAATTAAAATTCTAAATCCCAAGTATATGACAAAAATATATTATAATGGCACCACTTTACTTTTAATTGCTATACATGGTATGGCATCCCCAATTACTCTGACTTTCTGATTTCGTAAAAGGTTCCAACGAATACAATGCATACTGCTAAAGTTATTACTAGGCAAAATATCATTTATTATTATCAAATGCTACAAAACCTAGTTTAAAATAACCACTTGTTATATTAAAAGACGAATGTTAAAGATGTCGCTTGGGCGACATAATATATTGTGTTGACGCTAGGGCAGGGTTAGGGTTAGGGTTAGGGTTAGGCTCGAGCTGTTCCTATCTGAAAGCTGAAAGAAAGTTTACACACGTATCCCAGAAATGGTTTATATAATTTTAATTTCACACGTGACGGTTGATTATAGGCCTACTATTTTCTAATATTAACAATATAATCTTTTACAATTGTTATCGGTGCCATCTTGTTTTTTGTTCATGCCTAGTCACCTCCATCCTAGTTCCAAGCGTTGACATAATATATTATATCGCCCAAGCGTTGACACAATATATTATGTATGCGACAATATACTGTTACTTCGTGCCACAGGCCACTGACACTAATACCATATATACGCTTCAAGCTACTGACTTGAAACGTATCGCCTGGTAATGTTAACTGGTCCCTTAAAACGGTAAAAATAGTAAAATCTAGGATGGCCGACAGTTCTAAACGTTTGGTTTAAGACGCTATAAGTGTAATATGAACATGTAAATTAATGATTTGGGGGGGTCATTCTGCCATTTGAAGATATATCTTGTGGTGTTCATCGATCTCTTTAAGCGGTAAATCACACACACACACACACACACACACATTCTCCGATCGATAACCCACATGTACGAATAGGCTTTACCCTGGACTGTTTCATCATAAAATAGCACCTTTGGTATGTGAAGTAATGTTTTTGGGGTCTACGATTTTATAATGTATCAACAATGGTAATGATATCAACATACAAGAGGACACTTAAGTTTGGTACCTCAGATCACAGGAACAAGTGTTGGTAAACTTAAAATTCATAATTGTTAAAAATTTAACTAGTT